GTATCTCAACCACGGCGGGGACCTGAACGCCCTCCCCGGCCACACGTTCGCGGCCCAGCAGCAGACGTTCCCCAACGTCCGGGAGATGTTCAGCTCGCACCGGCTGGGCCTCGAGAACTCGGCGCTCGGGGAGTCGCAGGTGAGCGCCAACGCCAGCTGCCAGCTGCCCTACCGGTCCACGCCGTCGCTCTACCGCCACGCCGCCCCCTACTCCTACGACTGCACCAAGTACTGACGCACCGGGCCCGCCGCTGGCCCCGGCCCGCCCCGGCTCGGCGCCCCAGACCCGACCCCTCAGACAGTCCCGGCTGCGGAGACGCAAACGGAGGCGAAACGCGCCCACCCGCCTTTTCTCAGACCTGGAGCCGAGGGAGCGGGCGCGCCGGCCCCCCGCCGTCTGGGAAGCGTGCAGGTAACTAATTCGCCGCCCCGAGTGGAGCCTGGGGTCCCAGGAAGCCCCTCTAGAGGGGCGCTACCCCGCGAAAGGAAAATTGGTCCGAAACGTTCCCTCCCCTGCTGGGAAGACCGTGTGGACCGAATCCTGTAGACCCCTTCGATGACTTTCCTAGAGGTCCCCACGGGTGCACGCCGGTCTCTACAGGTCATGTACGTCTGTGTGTAATTTTAAATTTCTCTAACCGTGCTGTACAAATGTGTGGATTTGTAATCAGGCTATTGTGTTGTTGTTCAGAGCCATTAATATAATATTTAAAGTTGAGTTCACTGGATAATTTCTCATCTTGCCCAGCCATTTCTAAACTGCCCAATTGGATTCAAGGAACCGATGTAGGTTTTGCTTCCTGTACAATCGTGAGAGATGATTTTTTCCCCCTCCCAGCTGTAGGTCTTTTACGAAACAAGAAAATAATTTATTTATTTTTTTGTTGGCGGATAAAGAAGTCAAGTATCTGATACTTTTTATTTACGAAGTGTTGTGTATAGTGGGTCCCTCCCTGAGTATGCCTAAAAGAAAAAAGAAAAAAATAACCTTAAAAATTTAACTTCATCTGTGTTTTGTCTTATGTGGTCTTAATTGTTGTACTTACCTGAAAATAAACCCGTGTTGTTTTTCTGCCCAGAATTCAGACAGTGTTTGTGTTCTTGCATTTTTTTAAATTTTTTTTTTTTTACAAAAACAAGGTGTGTTTGCAAATCCACCTGTTTGGATTATTTTTGTTGTACAGGCGGTTGTCCATGTAGACACACAAATGTGATCACAGGCAAATGGGGACACTTCTCTGCCGTCTTGTTCGGGGACAGAAAAAGCTTTTGATTAATCAAAAATCCCAGAGTGGGATTTTTTTTTTTTTTTTTTCCCCTTGAAGCAGTTTGAGAGAAACCGACCAGGTTGGAGCATGGTGACCGCAGGCTGAGAGCTTGCTGTAATGCATTTTGTGAAATGCAGAAAAACATGCCAGTTGTCAGAGCCACGGTGCCACTCCACCTCAATGTCCAGGTGTCCCCAATGCAGGAGAAGAAGAAGCAGGAAAAACACATCCCATTTGCTAACTGCCACCCCAGGTGAGCCCTGAATTCCCTGCTTTTCTAAACTGCGGACCCCCTCATCCACTTTAATGGTTTTCCAAAGAATCTGAACTCGGTCAGCAAAGGTCTGAAGGGGCTTGATTCTCCAGCGTTCAATGTCCATCCCCCTGGGTGGCCGGATCAGAGGGGGATTTTAGACAGCTTACTCCTTGGTTTGACTTCTAAACCGTCACCCTCTGCAAAGTGAAAACATTTTTAAACCTCACTACCCTTGAAAAACAACGTGGCTGCGTTTGGACTCCTACGTTTATCAACTTCTCCAATCGGTTAAATAATAAAGAGCTTGTTTTTTCATGTCAGTTTTAATATCTCATCTTTTACATTTTTAACAGCTCCCCAGCCTTTGGGAGTTGGAGCTGGGAAGTGGCTTTATGATCTCTTTCACTGGCTGAAAGCTGCAACTCCCCTGCTGGCCCCTCCGTGTGAATTTGGGGACCAGAGTGCCACCAATTCCCACCCAGCAGGTGAGCCGCGCTTTGCCAGCAGTGAGGTTCTTTGTAAACTTAACTCTTCACGAGGTGGGGGCTTGGTCAAAAGGTGATTCTGCCTGATGCGGCGGCGCTGAACGCAGCCTCGGTGTGTCCTTGCTGTTGTGGCTTTAAACAGCGCATTTTATCTCTGTTGTGTTGAAATAGAATTAGGGGATGTGGGGAGTATAACCGCTTCCGCTATGAGTGCAACACAGATTCTCTCAATCCGTGGCCCCAGACATGGCCCGCAGTGAAGACTTAAAGGCTGCGGTTCCTTCCTTTTCATGCTATGCCGGTGGCGCTGGGCTTTCAGCAGGCCCCGGGCCAGGGGAGCTTTGGTGAGCGAGCCAAAGGAAGTGGGAGACCTTCTCTAAGCGGCAGAATGTGGCAGCCCACCTGAGAGAGTTTCTTGTTCACGTCTGCCTCGATGGTTTCACTTGGCTCCTGCTGTCTGCCCCGGGAGAAGAGAAAAGCATTCTAAACTGCAAGCAAGCTGCCTTCCTCCCTGCCTCCACCTGGAGGTTTCAGAGGTCTCCCCGAAAGTCTGCCCTCCTCTGGAGACTTGGAACTTACGGTGCTCCATTAATGACAAGACCCCGACACACCTGGGGAATAAAAGCACCGGGGCGTGAATGGTGTGGGGCGAGAGACCCCTCACTGCAACTGAGGCCACGCTGGGCTTCTTAAAGAAGTCCCTGCTGCATGGAGGCTAGTTACCTGAATGGGTGGCTCCAGAATATCCCCCCAGCCTCCTGTGGAGGCCATGGGAGGGGGTCCTTCCATTCTCCTGGGAAGGTGGGCAACTGGGAGCTTGTATTTGGGGCTTTATCCAGGCCTCCAGAGGTGGTCGAGAGGAGGCCCAGCCCCTGGGGTTGTGTCAGGCCTGGGTGCTCTGGGACTTGCCCAAGGCTTCCTCGGTCTGAGGCCAGGGGACTGGGGTAGGTGCAGGTAAGTGCGGAGGCTGCCTGTGTGCTGTGAGCTGGCTCAGAGCCGCTCAGCCGTCACCCTCTGCAGCCCCTGGCCCACTGACCGCAGCCTGGGGGCTTAGCAGCCGCTGAGGACCTCTGTTGCTCCCCCAGCAGAGAAGGAAGATCCCGCAGCACCAGCTGTGAGCCCAGGCACCCGCAGGACAGTCGCCCCTTGCCAGCCACTCTGGCATCTGTTGCCCAGGGTGTATGGGGCACAGGCTCTCCTCAGTCCCCTTATCCACTTCCCCTTTCCTGTGGCCTCTGGGTCCTCAGGAGGCCTTGGACCTTTTGGGAAAAGCGGAACAGAGGTCGGTCAAGGGTGGAAGGGCCAGAGTGCCTGCCACAAACTGCAGTACTCGGGCAGGGCGTCTCTGCAGTCACTGAAACGCAGTTTGTATGAAGCCATGTCAATCGCCACATTCCTTTCTGGCCCAGTTAAGAAGATACGGCTGGCCCGGCAGCTCGCAAAGACACTGCATATAAAGTGAAAGCAGCCCGGACACCATGACAGAGACTTTCCCACAGGGTTAACTCCAGCAGCTGGCTCAGAGGCTGGCTGAGCGGATTGAGCCTCTAACCCGAGTCCTGTTTGATCGCTCTGCTCTCCCCCCAGAGTCCCCTGGCTTTAGGACACCCCTCACATCCTAGCCCCAGAGAGGCTACAACCAGGATGCCTCCCTAGGATGGGACTTCTTGTAAGACCCCCAAAGATCCACCCAAGCTCACAGCCTTCAGAAAGAGGGACTGCCTGGATCCTCCCTCTCCCAGAACGGGCTTGCGTCTGCAGCCAGGTGACATGTTCCCGCAGTTGCAAATACTGTGGTGACTTGCATCCAAAAATTGCTCCAGGATCGGGCTAGGAATTGGAAGACTGTATCTTTCTGTGTGAACATCCCCTCCTGGCCTTGGTCTTCCCACCTGTAAGATGGCCAGGGGAGCAGAGCCGCCTGGCACTTTCCTTCCCGGCTGCTGCACTGGGCCCCAGCTTCTGCCACCGCCCTCCCCTGCCACCAAGAAAGAAAGTCAGAAGTGAGGAGAAGAAGAAAATGCAGGGTCCTGGGAACTTAGGCGCTTGGCTATAAGTCTTTCAGGTTCCATCTCCTCCCGTTTACCCCATGACGGCCCGGGGGTCGCTGTGGAGCTTGGGAGGGGCGCTCAGAGCTCAGAGTTCCCCCCTCACTGCGAAACCCAGCCCTGTTGGCTTGTAAGGCCTCTTTCCTTCTCCCCTCCCCCAAACCCCCAAAGAGGAGGGGGTATCTGGCAAGGTTGGCTGATGGGAATTTATTGTTAACCTGAGCTGAATGGCAATACAGAAACCGGGGAAGACACCCACGGATGTGTGGACAGGACGGGGTTTCTCGAGACGGCTCTGGTGTCTCAGAGCCTGTGGCTGACGCCTCAAAATGTGTGCCCGGGGATGTAGAGTTCATCTGACTCTCATGGTGGGATGATGGGTGGATAAGTGGAGAGCTGGGCTTTTCTGCCTCAGGTGCTGATAGGCTGGGGGTCTGGGGTCCCGTGCCTCTGTCCCAGGTGAGCTGGGAGAGGCTGGGTGAGAGCCACGCAGAGGGCCCACCCCTCTGCCTCCCAGAGAGAGCCTTCCTGCCCCACATACTTGAGATGCTTTCCCAAACTTTGAGCAGCATTCCCTGCCAGCCTCTTTCTTGCAGGGCTCTGAAATGTTTGCTTTTTTGACACAGGCATGTAAGGAAGGTTTGGGGGAGCCTGGAAGGCTGGCAGGGGCAGCCGCCACGTCCGGCTCTTACCTGCATCTGACTGTACTTGACTTTTTCAACATTCCTGGTCTGCAGCAAAAGCAGAGTGCCAGGTTCTTCCAAGCATCAGGCTTGCGGGGTCTTAATTCGGGGTCTGGGAGCATGTGAAGTGCTTCCGTGGAGGGAAGGGGCAGTTTACTAGGGCACCGGCACCCCAGGACCCTCAAGGGGATGGAGCTGGGAGGCTTACACTTGGGTGCTATTGCACAATCAGGGACCTCAGTAATGGCTCACCCAGGCTGTGAGGTCAGGAGACCAGAGAAGTCCCGCTGACCCGTGGGCTCTGCCTGGGCACGAGATCTGACCTCCACCAGCAGCCCCTTGGCCCAGGGGCTCACTCTGCCTGTGTTATTTTTTCAGGTAAACTCCCCAGTGGAGTTTTTCTCTTTAAGGCCTGAATCCCTTTGCACCAACTCAGGCCCTTAAAAGCAGGCAGACCGAGGGTTCCTGTAACATCAGCCTATGTTACCTAAGGCTCTCTAGGCCACTTTCTTAACCGAAAACAGGCCCATGGCGAGGATTCATGGAGTGCAAAGTGGCGCTTGTCCCTATGAGCATTCCTGCTGGTGGCCAGGGTTGACCTGGAGAGCTGAGGAGAAAGGGTCTTTGGTCTCAGTGGCGTGTGCCCAGCAGGCCATGCCCTGCAGGGACAGCCCACTGCGCCTGGGAAGACGCCACCCACCCTTAGCGCATGCCAGGCCTCCACCTGGTGTCTCTGCATTCCTGCTCTGCAGCAAGAGAGCGGCCGCCCGGTGCATGCGCCCAATACCCTGTCTAGGGCTTTCCATCACTTCTGGGAACAAGGTGAGCCAGAGGCAAGTGCGTCACCGAACATCCGGCCCTGCTCTCTGGGCCTCTCTCGGCATTTGCTGGCTGGGCCAGGCCGCCATTACCTTCATGTCCCAATCCCAGGCTCTCTGCCTCCTCCTCCCCCCAACCCTGAGAGGAGAGGGCCCTGCCCCCCAGCTTTGAAATCCTCTGCTCTTTTAAGAGTTGGGGGGGAGGGCCTTCTGGGTTTTGAAGAATAAGCAAGGATTCTGGAGTGAGGATTATAATCTCCCAGCTCTGATTGGGCCACATAGACTCCCTCTCTAAAGGACCCTTCTCCCTCTCCCATTATCTATGCCAGTCCATCCCTGTCTCTGAGCCTTTATGGACACCTGAGCACAGTAGAACCCCCCCACCAAGACAACCATGTGGGTTCTGATTTCTGTGCTGCCTTTGACTACCTTCGTGGTCTTGGGGTGTTCTGCGCCCAGCCTCAGTTTGGTCATCTGTAAAATGGGTGACTCCGTCACCCCTGCCTTTCTTAGATGCTGTGAAGGTTCTTGAGAGAGCGTCGAGGGGCCTGAGCGTCCACATATGGTAGCTATCAGGACGCCGTTGTCGTTCTGTCTTTGGGGCATGTCCTCCTGTGAGACCCGAGGCCGGCTAACTTACAGGGCTTCAGTTTCCTGGTCTGCAAAAGGGGGACGACACAGGCTTCTGCTTCTTAGGGTTGCCACGAGAAGGGAATGCCTCGGTAAATCTTGTTATTAGTCTTGTGATTGTCATCTTTGTCTGTAATGCTTTTTAGCTTGTCAGTATGGTGAGGACGGCCTACATCGTCCCACTCTTCTGGAACACTGCACAGATGGCGGAATCGTATGCCTGTATATAATGTTAACTGTGAGCTCGGAAAAGTGACGCAAGCATGTGGAAAGATGACATCGATCACGGCCCACTTGGTGTCTGCTTTTTACTTTT